AAAAAAAAAAAAAAAAAAACACGAAAAATTAGCTGAGTGTGGTGACGGGCACCAGTAATTCCAGCTCCTTGGGAGTCTGAGGCAGGAAAATCACTTAAACGCAGGAGGCAGGGGTTGCAGCTAGCTGAGATCACATCATGGCACTCCTGGCAACAAGAGCGAAACTCCGTCTCAAAAAAAAAAAAAGAAAGAAAATACATGATTATGCATTCACAATGCTGTGGCCACATTGAGGCCTCCTGACAGGAAGGGAAATAGCAAGAAGAGGAAGTTGCAGTGGAGAGATAGTGAGCTTGACCAGCTCCAGCTACAATGTCCAGAATTTTTAAGTTTTACAAAAACATATGACCACGTGAACGCACTGCTTGGGCAGCTCCCGTGACCTGGGGTGTGGGGGCTGGTAGCTACCAGAGCTGAGAACTGAAACCAAAGTGTTCAACAATGGTTTCTTGCTGAACCAGGTGAGCAGCGGGAGTCCCCCCAGCCCAGGCCTCAGTTTTCAAACCTCTCCTCTGGCTTCGTACCCCTGTCTGCCTGTCTCCAGATCACTTTTTCGCTGCACTGTGATTGCTCCTGTTCTCCAGACCTGAGCTTTCTGAGTGATGTGCTAAGAAGGGGGGCAGATCTGCCTCAGATACCAGCTGCCAGGGCTGGGGTAACTGAGCCCCTGAACTGGTCACCTGTTTTTCTGTTTATAAGTTTATTTATTTATGTATTTTTTTAAGTTAAATAATCTTGTAGAAGAGATATATATATATATTTTTAATTCTTTTAGCATTCTGTACACTGACAAGAGGTAAAAGAAAATGAAACTTAAATGTGAAAGAACACTTCACAATTAAATCCACAATTGTAAACATTTATCTTACTCGCGTCAGTGAAAAATCACCAATTATTATAAAAACAGGACAAATTACATCACAAAAGAAGCAAAAATTAGAAAAAAAATTCATAAAAAAATATATCCAACTATGAAAAGTGTTGCTCTCTTGGTGTCTTCACATCCTTCTCTTCTGTGTACTGATGTACAACACATTGTTTCCTCGGATAAATGCGTCTCCATACTTATTCTTCAGTTGTCCATTTACATATTCCTCTGTCTGCTCCAGGGCTATATTCATGTAGCCATCCAGGCAAGCCAGCACCCCTCAATAATCCACTCCAGAATTTAATTTTACCACAACTGGCCATCCGATGATTTGCTTTAAGAAGTCACTAGGGGTTTGCTTCCGAAGACTCATTTTAACAATCTTGGGACACAGGAAACCTCAGTTCTAATCCCAGCTCTGCTACTTAATTAGCTGTGTGACTTGGATAACTCATCTCACCTCTCATGGCCCCAGGTTTCTCATCTCCCCGGTAGGATCCAGAACCCTCACTACAGGTACCCCAAGAGTCCGGCCTCCGCGGACTTCATCGAATCGAAACCGAAACCTCCGAGGCCTTATTTATGTATTTTTTAGTGGAGACGGGGTTTTACCATGTTGGCCAGGATGGTCTGGTTCTCTTGGCCTCATGATTCGCCTGCCTCAGTCTCCCAAAGTGCTGGGATTACAGGCGTGAGCCACTATGCCTGGCCTATTCATTTATTTTTGAGACAGGGTCTTGCCCTGTCGCCCAGGCTGGACTGCAGTGACATGATCTTGGCTCATTTCAGCCTCCGCCTCCCAAGTTCAAGGGATTCTCGTGCCTCAGCCTCCCGAATAGCTGGGACTATAGGTGTGTGCCACCAAGGCTGGCTAAATTTTGTATTTTTAGTAGAGACAGGGTTTCGCCATGTTGCCCAGGCTGGTGTCAAACTCCTGACCTCAAGTGATCTGCCCACCTCAGCTTCCCAAAAGTGTTAGGATTACAGGTGTGAGCCACCGTGCCCAGCCCTGGTCACCTCTTGACCCCCAATAAGATTAATCTGTTTGCCCCAGTGAGCCAAACAAATACCATTTTCGCTGACCAAATCACTTTTTATGCGTGCCGTGACATAAAAAATGTTGGCAGGCCGGGCATGGTGGCTCATGCCTATAATTTCAGCACTTTGGGAGGCCGAGGTGGGCAGATCATGAGGTTAGGAGTTCAAGACCAGCCTGACCAACACGGTGAAACCCCATCTCTTCTAAAAATACAAAAATTAGCCAGGCGTGGTGGCATGCACCTGTAATCCCAGCTACTCAGGAGGCTGAGGCAGGAGAATTGCTTGAACTCGGGAAGCAGAGGTTGCAGTGAGCTGAGATTGCACCACCGCACTCCAGACTGGGTGACAGAGGAAGACTCTGTCTCAAAAAAGATTGGCAGGTCCGTAGAGGTGGCGAGGTGACGTGGTGGCACATGCCTGTAATCCCAGCATTTTGGGAGATTGAGGCAGGAGGCTTGCTTCAGCCCAGGAGTTTGAGACCAGCCTGGGCAACATAGTAAGACCCTGTCTCTAAAACTTAGAAAAACAAACAAAAAAAAAAGGTTGGCAGCATTTACCAGACAGTGGCTATTTTTCCTTACCTTGACCCATAGTGAAAATATACATGGCTTGAGCCCAGGAGATTGAGATCAGCCTGGGTGACAGAGTGAAGCCCTGTCTCACATTGTCACTCGGGCTGTACTGGTGCAATCACGGCGCACTGCACCTTC